AGCCAGGTCTCCCCCTTGACACCGCCCCTGCTCTCATCTTTTTTTTTTTTTTTTAAGATTTTATTTATTTATTTGAGAGAAAGAGAGAATGAGAGAGAGAGAGCACGAGAGGGAAGAGGGTCAGAGGGAGAAGCAGACTCCCTGCTGAGCAGGGAGCCCGATGTGGGACTCGATCCCGGGACTCCAGGATCATGACCTGAGCCTAAGGCAGTCGCTTAACCAACTGAGCCACCCAGGCGCCCACCCCTGCTCTCATCTTGCCCTACAGTCATGCACCCCCAAGCCCTGTAGATGCCACTTTTACACTCTCATCAGCTGCATGGACTCTGTTCTGGCCACCCTTCCCATCCCCATCATTATCCCTCTTCCGGGCAGTTTCACTGTGGCACCAAAGCGACCATCTCCTGCCCCTGCAGTATTCCTTCTCCACTCCATCCTGTCCACTTCTGCCAGATGACTCTTCCTAAAGCGAGCTCAGGGTGTCCTCTGCTCCAAGACCCTTAATGGCCCCCGGCTACCTACTGACTAAAGGTCCCACTCCTCCTGATGGCAAAGCTCTGATTTGCAGCTTACCACTAGGGCACCTCCTACAAAGCTCAGCTGGTTGCAAACGAGCTGTTCTCCCTAGTTGCACTCATTACTCCTAGGCCCACCCCTGCATTCTGCCTCAGACCAAAGACAATGCTTTACTCCCCTGTGAGCAGTACTAGCCCACCCACACTCCCTTCCGATGCTGGGGTCTCCCTCTTGTCCACCTCTGGGCTTGTTACATTCTTCTCTGAGATGTCTGGTCCTTAAGGCCGCTCTTGCAGACAGGACTGAAGTCCCTCCCGGGAACTCAGAAAGAAAGGGGAGCTGGGCCCCGCAGGAGAGGGAGCCCCTGCCCTTCATGGCTTTCCTAGGGCTGGAATCTGTGTGGACGTGCCGGAGAGGGTTGTCAGTGATGAAGACGGCCTCTGCCCGAGGAGGAACTGGGAGGGCCAGCACTCACTTGAAGGGGCGCAGGTTGAAGACGACCAGTTTCTCTCATCCCCTTCTCTAAGTACACGTTCCAGACACCTGCCACGTACCAAGTGCCGGGCTGTGTGTGTCGGCAGTGGTGGGCTGAAAAGCTGGTAAGACAGAGCCCTGACTTGCAGCAATTGCCTGTTTCCGTGGTATGAAGATTCCTGCCATTGCTGATTTCCAGCTCGCCACAGGACGGTCCCGAACACGGAGTCGGGAAGCAATGCACACAGCCCTCTCCAGGGAGTGGGGCGCGGGGCCAGCTCCGGCACACCACGGCTGAGGCTGGGGCCGGGAGGAAGAGGGCCAAGTCAGTCATGGTCGTAGAGTTTGGTCTAATGGATTAGGTCACTGTTTTACTTCCATGTCCTCTCTTCTCTTCCCCTGGTGGGCTGTCGAAGGCCGGGCAGGGCGGGAACCGCAGCTTATACGGGGCTGTCTACCCCTCCCCACCCCCCACCCCACACCAGGCACGGTGCTCTCCTCACGGGATGCACTCCAGCCTGCAGGGCAGGGAGGGTATGTATGCACCGAAAACAGGCCCTCCCATCCCTGCCACCCACCCCAGAGGAGTGGAAGCCGCCACAAGCCACAGGTCAGCTTTGCGCAGCACAGGGTTGGCCTTTGGTAAAATGACGCCGGGGTGAGCTTACCTCAAGCCTTCCGCACTCTCTAATCCCTCTTCCCCACCCTTGCCAATGGCTTGTTCTCAGGCCTGGCCTCAAGTTTGACTCTCCACCCTCACTGAGGCCTTCGGTGGTGATGCTGCAGGTAGGTTCTCTGACCTCCACGCCATGTGAAGAGTCAAGACTTGTCCCTGGCTTTTCAAAGGGGTCTGACACTTCCCTCCACCCCTCTTCTATCTCCAGAAAAGGTTTAGTTATCTAGGAACTATGTGAGGATTCTGGTCACTCTTGGGCCTTCCATAAAGAGGGACCCTGATTGAACCTCTGCAAAGAGGGGTGTGTGTGAGAGAGAGAGAGAGAGAGAGAGAAACAGGCACATCCCAGGTACCAGGGCTGTGCATATCATACACTCGCAGCCCGTCACACTCACACGTCCGCACTAAGAAGGAAAACTGCCACCCTCCCTCTTCATGGAGAGCAAAGCCAGAGGCGGCTCTTGGCCCTTGCCCAGGCATGATAATGTGACCGTCCCCGGGCTGCCTGACGTGGGATCTGCTTCCATCTCTGAGAGCTGACATGGCACTTTCTACCACAGTCATGGATCTGGTTCTTCATGAGCAAGGCTAGACTAGGCGCCAGCCCCACGGATTACACTCCTTCTCTCCATCCACTCTCCTTTTTTTCATATTCCCACCACAGAGCCCACAACGCTTCAAAGATCAAGGCTTTATTTTCTCTAGCTCGTGTCACAACTGTAGCAGCAAATCTGAGATATCCCCACACATAAACACACATTTGTCCCTGTTCCAAAGAGCTGGCAACAACTGGGCTATTTGCCCCAGGCCATTAAGAAACACTTGCTCACCCTTGTACATTGTGCGTCTTACAGGTAGGAAGCAGCAGTCCATTCGCATTTAACAGACACAATCATCCTTAAATAAAGTTAAATAAAACCTTATTGGCATAACAATGTGTTGGAGGTGCAGCTTTAGGGGGACTTTGGAGGACCGCGCTTGGAATAAGACATCGTCATTAAAGAAAAAAAAAGAAACAGAAATAGAAAACACACAGAAGGGTGTAGGCCAGTAAACAGCTAGATTCAATACAAAGTTAGGAAAAAATAGGCGTGGATTGAAGCTGTATCACATCTGAGGAAAATCAATTTTCTATTCTAAAATAAAACTCTGATCTCCAAGGGACTGAATCTCACATCATGGTCTGGGCGTAAGAGTTCATGCCTGTATGCACATGCACTGTTACGGAGCACCGTACTCAAGGGGCGTGCCTTACTGCAGAGGTCACCCCAAACACATGAAAGACCAAGCACGTGCCATGATTATGTTAAGCTGGTCATCACCGGGGTGGGGCGAGAACATTTTCCTATTTAGTTACTTCTCAATGTCAAAGTCACAGTTGACAACTGGACTGTAGTCTGCACAAAGCAACAACACAAACTTTGGAGCCCAGAGCAAGGAGGAAAATCAATTCCCGCAAGATTAAGACCACTTACATTTGTTTAGTGCTTCACAACTTTCAAAACCCGCTCAGATACATGGCTCATCCAGCCTCATGAAGGTCCGGGGGGGAAGGCAGGACAGGTAGCATCGCCCCATTTCCTGGCCAGTCCATCTGTACGGTGAGAGGAAAGTGTGGGCAGACCTTCCAGCTCAGTCCACAGAGCTCTCAAACCCCCTTCCCACCTCTCCTTCTTGCATCCCTTACCCACAGGAGCTTTCCTAGAGAATTGAACAGTTTCTTTTCTGAATACCATCGGAAACAAAATCCTGTGGTTTTTTTTTTTTTTTTTTTTTTTTTTTTGCAGCAGTGTGGCACATCTTAAGAGGAGGAGAAAGAGTGGTTGGGTAATTATTTTAGAATTCTCTCTAGTTTTCTTCCTTTTGCAGAATGTACCAGTAATGCACAGCATGTTTTAGTAGAGGATGTAAATACTTCCCAGAGCACCAGGGTCTCTCTCCATGGGCTTTTTGCAACCCCAGGTAGGACAGAGGCTTGCTACAACTGGTTTCCAACTGGCAGAGGGTGGGGAGTGGTTCATTCCAAAGTGAGAGAGGCCAGCAGCTGAGCCCTCCCAGCCCAGGAGCAAGGTCCTTCTCATGGGGCTCACCTGGGAGCTGCCTGATATGGCACCCTTCTGTCTCTGACCTCAAAACGACTCCTGAAGGCAGTGTGCGGGGTCCCAAGATGAAACCTGTCCCAGTGCCACCTGGAGTTCTTGGCAGGAGGAATAGCCTCCAAAGGAGCCTGGGTCTGAGCCTCAGAGAGGTGCACTACATTGACCGTGGGGCAGGTCAGGGGCAAAGGGCAAAGGCTGAAGGTCAGGGCCAGCCCCACCAGATGGAACATACATGTGCTTCCTGCTCATTTTTAAAGGGCTCCAGAAGGAAACCGTGAAGCCATTTGGGCTTCCCTTGGAGATGCCTGGCAGCCAATCAAAGGGCGTGGCCAGGGGAAAAAAGCTTGCATTTTCTTAGTGATAATCGGGCTCAGATGCACCATTTCAGAGAACAAGGCAGTTAGGCCTCGAGTTCTCAGCTGGTGCAGATAAGTGAGGCTGACGATAGCTCTGGAGAGACATCCTGACTTGTGCACAAGGGCCCGGGTCTCACTTCAGCGGCTGGGCTTGGCCTGAGGGCCTGGCCTCTGTCACTGCAAGGTGAGAGGCTCCGTTAATGGTGGACAGAGGGATGGACACATGCCACAGACATACTTGCTATGCTTTTTTTAAAAATCCCTGAAACCGCCCAGGGAAACAGATTTAGTCAACACACAAGACTATCTGAGGTGCCAGAGTTAAAGGCTGAATCAGAAATAAGTTCTAGGGAGAATTTATCCCAATTGCCTGCTCAACAAGTATCAAAACCTTGGCATTGCAAGAGCTGCTGCGTGCTGGCCCAGGGAGGCAGACATCCGCGTCCCTCACAAGGAGGAAGGGAATGGTGTCAGCAGGAATAAGACTAGTCATCCCATTCCCGCCGGCGGCCGCTATCCTCCAACGTGACCGATCCTGCCACCGTTAGGTGTGCACGTGTCTGTGCCTACAGCAAGAGAAAATGCCCCAGGACCGATCTTTGGTCCTGGAATTTTCGGTAAAGACAAAAGGAAAAGGCACACGCAGGTGACTGACTGGATAAAAGGAGAAAAAAAGTAGCGAGGAGTAATATATCATTATTTTGATTTTGTTTGCAACGTAAATTCAAAATATAAACTTTATTATTTTACATTCAAGTGAAACTTCCATCTGGGGGCTCCACACAATCTTAGGCCACATTCAGTAATTTATCACTTTGGTGCCTTTTCACTTAACCCAGTGGAAGAATTCAGCCCTCTATCTTTTTAAAAAACAAAAACAAAACAACTTGATATTCCCAGCTGTACCACTTATTTGCACACACACACACACACACACACACACACACACACGCCCAAAGACTTCTACATAGAAAAATAAAGGATAAACATTATCCATCTATTTTGTACTGTGTACTAGAACTTTTATATACAGAATTCTCTTTTTTTCTTTAATGCTTTCAGTCACTGCACATCTTCTCCCCTCCCTTGTGAGCTGCGATCATAGGGCAGGAGACGGCTACAGGGAGACAGAAAAGCTACATTCCTGTCAGGGGAGGGAGAGCAAAAGCCATCCCCCACTCCTCGTCCAGAGTCTTTCCCCACCTACCACCTCAGACGTCCCTGTGGACGGCCTTCCGGTCAGCGGCTGTCCCATTGTCCCCGCTCTCTGAGGCGTCAGGGAGCAGAGGGCCCACCCTGCCAACACCCCGTCAACATAACCTCGGCGTGAGGTCAAGGGAATGGAAGCAGGCAGGAAAAGCCTTTTTAAAATAAAAGATTCTGGAATCACTGCCCATGGCCTGTTCCTTTAGTACGGAGCTCGATTTTCCAGCTTGTGCTTGGTGAGAAAGTACTTGAAGAACTCATAGACAGACCAGGAAATGGCCGTGGAGGGCATCTGGTAGATGACACGGGCCTGCATGCCTTTGAAATAGCCGGGTAGGCCATTGAGCTGGTACACCATCCTGAAGGCATTGGCCATGCCTGACAGCCGGCCGCTGATGTTGGCCAGGTTGAGGGCCATGTTCTCCTGAGTGTTGAGGAGGGTCTTACAGACGTCCAGAGGGGTGGTGGCGGCTGCGGCGAGGGCCCCGGCCAGCCCACCCGAGATGATGTGGGACTGTGGGTTGTAGCCCCGGTGAGGGTTGACCTGCTCCTGCAGGAACTCGTAGGTGATGAAGTGGATGGACTGGAAGGGAATGTTCATGGTCAGCTGTGTGGTGTAGCTCCGGTAGAAGGCCCCCAAGCCCTCGGTCCTCCAAACCGTCCAGACGCAACGGAGGGCTGACCGGTGCGGCGAGTCGTACATCTGCATGCGCTGCTTCACAACTGTGGTCAGAGCCACCGGCAGTCGGGGGGGTGGTTGGTTGGGTTTGGCCCCACCCCGGGTCGCAGTGAAATGGGCAGCCAAGCCATAAAGAGAAACAAGCAAGTTTAGACACACTGGTAACAGGTCCCAGAGAGCTAGCACACACGCAGCCCCAGCCTGAGAATCCAGAGCCGCCAGCTCTGGGCTCTCCCGTTTACAGATGTGACCCCAGGACCCGGTGCTCGGTTTCTCTTGCCTGCAGCCCGCGTAAGGGGGTCCCCGAACCAGGCAGCCACTTCAGACTAGATTCAGTGATCTGATCCCCCATATCCCGGAGGCCTCCAGCATCGTACCTGTGGCAAAACTAAATCCCGCCCCCCCCATCTCTCTACCCTCCACCGTCCCAGCTACACATGTGTCCCGTCTTTTATTCTCTGTATGTGGTCTGTACACAGCGTTTTTAGCTTCTGTATGTCACAGCACTCTTGGAAGAAACACTGGAATTATGTGAGCCCAAATTCAGTGACAAACCCCAATGAAGACCCTGGCTTAAAATACAGAAGTAACTGCTGGTTCAAAGGCTATGAGGCAACTGGGGGCCTCAGGCTTGAGTCATAATAGTCCCCACGCACTGCCAAGTGAACACATGCAGTGCACTTTGCTTTACTCTTAGAGAAATGAAGTCCTTAAATCAATATGTCAAAGAGAAGAGAGGGAGCTGAACCTCACTTGTTTCTCTTTGAAAAGTAGAAACAAAATTCTTGCCCGGTTGGCATGGGCTAATTAACTGGTCACTGACCAGGTCCCTGGATGCACTGCCTTAAACACACAAAAACAAAGCCCGCCTCTCCCAGTCTGACCCATCAAGTCCCTGAAGGTCAGAACAAGGCCCCTGTCTGCGAGGGGCTGGGAGGCAGCTGAGAGCAAATAAGAAACGTTCACCTTAAAAGACAAAAACAGACGAACTCATAACAAAAGACTTGAAATGTTGACATTTTACCTCTCATTTCCCCTTCTGGCAAGGGACCAATTTTTAGTTGGGGAGAAAGGTGGAGAGAGTCCTACATGGCACACCGAGAATAACCCAGCTGCGAGGATGCCCAGTACCAGGCCCCAAAGCTCCTCGCTGGGCGGACCCGAGTCGGCTAAGGACTCACGCCTGCACGGCTGACAACTGTTTTCCAGTGTTCCCCAAATTCAAAATAATAATTAAAAAAAAAAAGATAACGTGGGAGGGGCTGGCTAAGGCAAGATGGCCAAACGTTAAATCACAAGTAGAGGAAGGCGCACACGGCACTCCTAATACTCTTCTCTCTACGTCTGCATACGTTTGAGATGGTCCGTAATAATTTCAGCTCTCTTTTAAAAAAGCAAATTGAACCTAAGCCCTAATGAACGGCCTCTGACGGCTTCCCCCTACATCTGTCTGGGATTGATAAAGGTTAACAAAGGCCTGTGCGTGTGAGTGTGTATGTGCCTGCACGCACATGTACACACACACACAGGTTTTACAGGAGTGCCAAAGACTACTCAAGGAAGCTTGTTAAAACAGATTCCCTGTCACAAATAATGCAATATATGTTAAGAAAAAAAAAAGAAGAAGAAGAAGAAGATAGCAGGAGGGGAAGAATGAAGGGGAGTAAGTCGGAGGGGGAGACGAACCATTAGAGACGAACAAACTGAGGGTTCTAGAGGGGAGGGGGGTGGGGGGATGGGTTAGCCTGGTGATGGGTATTAAGGAGGGCACATTCTGCGTGGAGCACTGGGTGTTATGCACAAACAATGAATCATGGAACACTGCATCAAAAACTAATGATGTAACGTATGGTGGTTAACATAACAATAAAAAATTATTAAAAAAAAAAACAGATTCCCTGTCTCTACCCCCCAGAGACTCCGATTTAGCAGGTCTGGGGTGGGACTCAAATTAGCATTCCTAACACGCTCCCAGGAGATGCTGATGCTGCTGGTCCGAGGATCACAGTCCCACTCTCTGTTCAAGAGAACGGGAACACCAGAAGCTCAAATGCTCAGCCCCTTTTCGAGGCCTTTGCTAACGTGGTAAAGAATTCTGCTTATTCTGACTGGGGGCCGGAAGTCCCCTTGCCCAACCTTCGGTCTCCGCCCCCCCCCCCGCCCGCCACCGCCCCCCACTGTTTTTGCTGCCCCTTCGCACATCCCCTCCTGCCATTCCCTGGGACCATGAAGCATTACCTTCTGCTGGATTCATTACCGCGTCGTGGAGCAGGGTGGCCATACTCCCAGCTATCCCTGCAAAACAAACTCCAGAAAATTACCCTCTGCGAGCGGGAGTTCTGAGGAAGTTCCTGGAATGTAAAATCAGATGGAACCCTGCACAGAGCTTTCTAAGAAGCAAAATCTATGCCCAGCTGCTCCCAGGTGAGCATTGACTCTTCAAAACGTAAAGTGATGATGGAATTGTTGAGAAAAATGAGGACGATAACATAGGCGCCACTGGCCACATTTTCATCCTGCAGATGTGTAGTCAATGCTGGGAAAGGTTAGACCTGCTGATGCCTGATGGTACCCAGAAACCACACTTCGTGGCTTTTCCCAGTGGAAAACTGTCCAGATTTTAATTCTCTCCTGTCCCTCACCTTTGTCTACAGACTAACTTACTCTGTCCTTGAGCTGGGGCAAGCAAAGGGGATGATATTATATATACAGCTAAGAGGGGAGAAAGAGAAAAGAAGTTTTAAAAGAAATATCCTTAATAAAATCCAGGCATTTTCAAGAAAATAGGCAGGAGAAGCAGACGTCAGGAAGCTCTGCATATGGCAGATTTCCAGGGTTGGTCTGCAAAGCAATGACTCATCTCAGAGATGGCAGACCCCATCTTGAGGCTCTCATCTGGCCTGGTTTCAAGAACCAGGAACTTCTGAAGTCTAATTCAGGCCTGGAATTTTGCTTTTGGCTTTGGGTTTCCTCCCTAGGCAGGTGACACTGCCCAGCAATTAAGATTAGCCCCGGAAGGTGGGAGGAATGAGCAATACCAGGATAATGCTTCAGAAATGCGTATAAAGCCCCCTTCCCCCGCCACACACACTTACGATTACCACCAGAAAGGTCAAAATGCAACCACAGCATACATCGTCGCGAAGCAGTAACGGCGCTGGGCAGAACTGTGTTCCGTCCAACCGCCTCCAAGGGATTCAGTGACCAAGGGACTAAACCATTACACAAGGCAGTTTCAGCAAGAAGCAAACCTCGAGGCCACGGACTCAGGGGACAGCGTCAGAGTGTGACCCTTGGGGACTGTCTTGACAAATGCAACCAGGGGCCCATTTGAAAAAAAAAAAAAAAGCAAAATAAATGTCTGCAAACCAGCCAGGTAGTTATTATTACCAGGGTTTGCTGGTGGAAGGGATGCTTTTGGGTTCTCTCAGCACAAAAAGAAGGGGTAAAAGCTGTCGATGATCACTCTCCCTCTTCCGTGTTGAAAAATTAGTTTTGTTAATATAAGGACACCTTATTCCATGACCAAACAAAAACCAACAAAAGCAAAACCCACAGGAGATGGGGAAAGAGCCACCACTGAGCCCACTGAGCCCACTGAGCCGGGCACCACCCGCCCACCCAGGCCCCCTCCCGCCGCTCTCCCTCAGAACAACAAAGGAAAACTACTCCAGCCCTTGCTTGCTGAGAGAGGCAACCGAGACCAATGGAAGAGAACGGGGGTGAAACCCCCAGATCCCCAGAGGCTTAAGGTGGGAAAGGTGGCCTGTGCTGCAGCAAATCCTTTGTCAGCCATAAAACTTCTTGACCTTTTAAAGCTTAGTTAGATCTTGACGTTGCAGAGACCTGTTGAACCAGTTTTTAAATAGTCTCAAAGAAGCTGTCCAGATAACTTTTTTTTTTTTTTGAATCCAGCATTTAAAAGTTTTGTTTCTATTCAGGGTTTGTTTGGGTTTTTTTTCCTAGATCTGATCATTAATTGCTTTTCAATGTCTTAAAAAAAAAAATGAAAAACCCACGCAACAATGCAAACTGAAACACCTCTGTCACCGACTTCCCCCAGGCTTTAGAAAGCGAAGGAGGGGAACAGAAAAGCGTGTGTGTGTGTGTGTGCGCATGTGTGTGTTTGGGTGTGTGTGCACACACGACTAGAGTTCTTTATTCGTAAGCAAGCACGGCGGAGATGAGGCGTCAGGCTGCTGGGTCACAGGGAGGAGAACCCTGGGGAAGGGTCTGTTGAAGGAGAGAGCTCTCTAACTCCAGACAAACGCTTTCAAAATACCGTTGGCTAGGTGGCTGTTTCCTTGGTGGTGGAAAACGGCATTTAAAGTCCTTTTCATGTTTTCATAGCAGGCAAAATACATGGCGTGGGCCGGCCCTGCGCCCATCATCATCACGTTGAGGCCTCGCAGGGGCCTCCAGAAGCCTTCAGTCCGAATGATTTTCTTAAGGGCTCCGTAGACACTTGTGTACTGCGCTTTGGGATCTGGATTCAAACTCTGCATTCGTGTCTGGCGGGGGGGTGGGCAAGAAAACAGAAACGGTGGAAGTTAACAAGCATAGTAAAGAGGAAAAAAAGACTCAGGGAGACAGTGAGAGCAAACTGTCCATTTTCAGTTTCACGGGATTTCTCGGTGAGGAAAACACTGATTCCCTCCTTCCTGGAGTACTCCCCCCCCTTACATACGCACATTCACATGGATTTCATTGTGGCCAGCAGCGGGGAAGGATGGTTGGGGGCAGGATATGAAATAGGAAGATGTACCCACATGCTGTGTGAGCGCTGAGGAATCCCTTAACCTCTCTGGACCTCAGGACCCCCCCAATTAAAAAAACAGGATGGTCACAAACCCTTAATAAACTCAGAGGCCTAGTCAACTGGAGTATTCTTATCCTGTGGTTGCCCCTCTCGTCCTAAAGTCTGTGTCCTCACTTATTTGAGACCTCCATGTTCTGAATGCTCCTTTTCAGCCCCCACTGGGAATCTCCCAGGCGTCCTCCAGACCTCATCCCACAGCTTCTCTACATTTTGTCTTTAGAAGTTAGCACTTACACATAAATGGTCCTGTTCTTAATTTCTTCCTGTGTGGAGCCTTGCCTCCTCGAGGCAGAAGCTCAGCTTTCCCCATCTGTTATCCCTGTCAGATGACCAGGGCACTTAAGTGGGTATACAGTTAATCTAGGTGTCAACGGAGCAAGACCATGGTACCCACAATGGCTCCAACTATGGCCAAACACTAGTCTAGATGTTGCTATGGAGGTATTTCTTAGATAAGATTAACATTTAAATCATTAAATTAGACCCTGAGTGAAACAGATTACCCCGTGTGGTATGGTGGGTCTACACACACACACACACACACACACACACACACTCTCTCTCTCTCTCTCTCTCTCTTTCCTGACTTGGTCTCTCTGGAGAACCCTGACTGGTTCAGGAGATAGTATCTGCCAGGTGAAGGACCCACCTTGGCTCAGTCCTGCAAAAGCAACAAGCATGCGCTCCTCCACTCCCCTCAACACACGCAGGCTAGAGGGGAGGGTCTCCAACCGTGAGCAGGGATACCCTTTTACCACCAAACAAAATCATACCCAAAGCTAATATATAAAATGGAAGAATTCCTTTAATTGAGAATGGGGGGGAGGGCCCTGGGCTCTCTTCTCACTCTGAGGCACACACCCCACACACACACGCCACCCCCCTCCCCAGCAACCCAGCAACTCCAGGGCTCAGAGGAACAGTGTGAAAACCAATGATCTAAATTAACACTCATATGTGGAATTTAAGAAACAAATGAACAAACAAAGAAAAAAACAGAAAAACAACAAACAAGACTTTTTTTTTTTTTAAAGATTTTATTTATTTATTTGACAGAGACACAGCGAGAGAGGGAACACAGCAGGGGGAGTGGGAGAGGGAGAAGCAGGCCTCCCGCCGAGCAGGGAGCCCGATGCGGGGCTCGATCCCAGGACCCTGGGATCATGACCTGAGCCGAAGGCAGATGCTTAATGACTGAGCCACCCAGGCGCCCCAAAACAAGACTCTTAACTACAGAGAACAAATTGGTGTTTGCCAGAGGGGAAGGGGTGGGGGATGGGTGAACCAGGTGATGGGGATTAAGAGCCCACTTACTGTGACTGGCACTGGGTGATGTATGAAAGTCTTGAATCACTATGTTGTACTCCTGAAACTAATATAACACTGCATGTTAACGACACTTGAGTTTTAAAAAATAAATTTTTAAAATCAATGGACCTTTTCAGATGTCCCCAGCTAGTAAAAACCACAAAGAAAATGGGCACATCACTGGCAACTTGTCATTTTGCCAAGAAAGGCCATAAAACAGTAACAACATGAGCAACAATCACCACAGCCCTCCATTACGACCATTTTCTATGAAAGGACATTTTTAATGCCAAAAAAAAAAAAAAAGCAAAGACTACCTCTGATTATAAAGCTGTTCTTTAAATTAAATTTAGCTTTATTAAAAACTCCCCACTTGGGGCACCTGGGTGGCTCAGTCGGTTAAGCGTCTTGACTCGATTTCGGCTCAGGTCATGATCTCAGGGTTATGAGATCAGCCCTGCCTGGGCTCCGTGCTGGGCGTGGAGTCTGCTTGTCCCTCTCCCTCTGCCCCTCCCCCACTCTCTCAAAAAAACCACAACAAAACAACTCACCACTTTACCCCTTGTTTTCTGGTGAAAATGCCCCCTGGCCCAGCCCAAGGCAGCTGCCCCACATCTGGGCCCACATTCCAGGGAATGCCAGGTGGGAATGGATGGGGTCAGTGTCCCTGTGCCTTTTGTTGAACTATTTTCTATTCTAACATGTTTCCAAAGGTGTTCGAGGTGGCTTCATAATGGAGGATACATTATACGCAAACATGAGCAAGGGAAGGAGAAAGAGGGAATTTGTCAACCTAGAGGTCACCTGACGCTGCTCGGCGAGTGCTCCTGGCCAGAGTGAACCGAGTATGGGAGTGCAAAGTGTCCACTCTGGAAGAGGCACACCCGCTTCCTCAGGACTGCTGAGGCTACCCAGGGCACTAAATCCTCAACAACACTTGAAATCGCTCACATTTTACAGCAAAGAAAGCTCCATAGTTCCCCCCCACCCCCCCGCCCCGGCTTTTTCCTATAATTGCCCCTGATGAAAAGCAGGGGCACCAGGCAGGAGGCGGCACAGAGCAAACAGGGATGGAACCCAGATCCCATCACTTAGGCTGTGACTCTGGGCTAGATGGTTACCCCCGCCCCGCTTTCGTTTCCTCCTGTGACAGAATGGTTGAGAAAATTAAATGTCTATGACCATCGTTACTGTTAATGACAATAAAGGCTGTGGTTCTAGTTATCTAGCCCTGCAGAGGTCTAAGCTCCATGGGGGCGGGGGGGGGGGCTACGTCTGTCTAATTTACAGTATATCTACAACGCCTATTACGGTGTCTAACTCACACGGGGGTCGGGGGGTCCAATAAATATTTGCGGAACGAATGGGTGAACAAAAAATGTGTGCAACTTAGGGTACCAACGGGGGTGATGCGGTACTAGGTCTCTTATTGCATTCTCCCCCTAAAATATGAGTAGCTTTCCTGGAATTACCCGTTTCTCCCACCACCCCTTCCCTATTGATAAAAAAAAAAAAAGTCCTCATTTTGCTGCATTTCTCAAGCCCAGGGGTGATCTGCTGAGCCACATGCAGAGCTGAGGCAGCCTGTCCCTGGGACCTGTTGGTAATGGGTGGCTCCTGCCAGTCCTGTGCCCAGGGGAGAGCCCCTGGGGATGGACTGGAGAAGCTTCCTGCCTTCTCCACCCCGCACTTGGCCCCAGTTTCTGGCCTTGGGCAGCAAGACCAGCCTGTGGTGAAGGCCTCCCTTGGGTCCCAGTGGGTAGAAACAAAGGAGCCCCTTACAAGCAGTGTGAGAAGACACATAGGACCTGGAACGAAGAGCTGAGAGGCTGGATTCTGGACCTGACCCCAGCTCCAACAGGGCCAGTGGCCTTGGCTATGGCATCTCATCTCTCTGGTCCTCAGTGTCCTCAACTGGAAAATGAAGGAGAGGACTGGAACCGTGGCTAGTTACCAGAATCATGGGGAAATGTTTAACAATGTACCTCCGAGCACCACTCCAACACATGTGGATTCTAAACTTCTTTTTTTTAATTCCCCAGATGATTCTGATCATCACTCAGTTTGGAGAACCCCTTAAAAAAGGGCCCTCTCGGCCTTAGCACTTTCTAGTAACATTCTGCATCCAGCCTTGGCAGAAAGGAGGGGCACCGGGGTTAAGTGAGGAGGGGGTGGTTGGGGAGGCGGTGTGCACAGAGGTGGGAGGCCAAGGCAGGAAGCTTTGGAGCCGGCCAGTCCAACCTTGTAGGTCTGAACTCCAACGCTGGGACCTTGAGCAGGTTCCTCAATGTCGGGGTGTGGAATAATCCCCCCAGCGAGCTCCCAGAGAGCTGTCGGCAGCCGGAGTGAGTTGACCGTGGGGAAGGCCTGGCTGAAGCTGGGAGGCAACGATGACCACCTCTTCTCCTACCCCCCCTTCTATAGTGTCAGGAAGGCTTCTCCCTGACAAAGCCGCTCACATTGGCCAGCTCTCAGACTTACATGGGAAATTTGGGATTGATTTCTCACCTCTCTCTTTTTAAATTAGGGGTGAGGCAGCTGGAGTAAATTTTACTGAACCAAAATGCCCCACCCCCTGTGAACAAGAAAAGGACAACTGGGTATCTCTCTGTCCCGGGGAAGGGGGGGGAAGAGGTCTACTCAAAGGAGGCCACATTTAATGACACAGGCTTGGGACAGAGGCAAGCGGCCCCTGAGCACAGAGAAGGACTCAGTCAAGGACCCTCTGGGCCCACCGTGGCCAAGCTCGGGGCCAGAGCCCCTCTAGTGCGAACTTCATTTCTTCAACCTGCCCACAGGGAGCACCCACCCTCAGTCAGGCACCAGGATGCAGAAGGGGAGAATCGTTGGGGAAATAAATAACAAGGAACGTGGGAGATTCGGTTGAGAAGGACACAGACCCTCTGCGTGCCCCGAGGGTGGCCAATTTGCACCAGCATGGTCGCGGGAGGGGCTAAGAGAAGCCGAGGTGGCCGCGTAGTGGCCGGAGGAGTGGCCAGAGCAGTGGAGACCCCTCAGTTTAGCCTCTCTTTCATTTTCAGTGACTCTACTTGCAAAAGGTACAACTCAGGGCCAGGCATTTTTTAGTGACCTGTGGACCAAAGAAGAATTTGGGGTTGAGTGGAAACCACCCAAGCGTCCTGTCCCTCGATGGATGAATGAATAAACAAAAAGGGATCCATACAGACAACAGAATCTTATTTGGTCTTAAAAAGGAATGACATTCGGGCATAGGCTACAGCTTGGGGGAACCCGGAGGACATGATGCTGAGTGAAATAAGCCAGCCAGCCACACACACACAAATACTGTTTGATTCCACGTAACATGAGGTACCTGGAGTTGCCAAAACCATAGAAACAGAAAGTAGAATGGTGGTTGCCAGG